GGAGGGTCACTCAGGCCCTGGGGGTGTAATTCCACATTCAAATGAGCTATTTGTCAGGGGCTGGGAAGTGTTTGAGGTCAGGGGCTGTGAGGAGACTGTCGGGTGTCCAGAGGTGTCGGGGGGATGTCACAGGCGGGTCAGGATCTCAGCCTTGGAGCTTCTGGGCTGAGGTGCTGCTGCCTCCACTGTTGGCTGGAGCCCCATGGCTGGCTGAGCCCATCCCCCTTTGGCTGGCTGGCTGTCCCTCTGCACTCCCTGGGTCACACTCCAGCCCTACTGGGGGCACAGGGTTGACCCCCACTGCTAGGATGGGCTCACAGGAGCCCCCAGACAAGACCCCAGAGGAGAAACCCCCCAACTTGGAGGAGCTGAAGCACAGCCCTGAGGAACAGGAGGAGGAGGAGAAGAAAGAGGAAAAGGAAGTGGAAGAGGAGGAGGACGATGATGCCAACTATGACAAGGAGGAGGATGATGATGCCAACTATGACAAGGAGGAGGATGATGATGATGAGGCGGAGGAGGAAGATGAAGCTGCAGAGGCCACATCTGTGCCACACAAGGGTCAGAATCAGTGCCCCAAGTGCAGGCAGAGCTTCCCACCTGGCTTAGACCCCGTGAGGCACCAGTGCCCCCACGCCAGCACCTGGCCCTTTGTCTGCACCGTCTGAGGCAAGAGATTCCATTGGAGCCTGCTGCTCATTGCCCACTGGCATGCCCATGCAGGCAAGAAGCTCTTCACCTGCACATACTGCAGCGAGACCATCCACCATGTCTCCCACTTCTTACAGCATGGCGTTGTCCACCCTGGTGAGAGGCCGTACAGCGGCAGGCACTGCAGCAAGAGCTTCAGCCAAAGGTGTGGCCACCACCAGCACCTCTGTAACCACCACTCCAAGGGTCATAGGCTGTGCAGTGGCGAGAAGGCACCAGACACCCTGGTCATCACCAGTGCCTCTGATGAGGGCCAGGGGAAGTTCAGCCAGCGCTCGGACCTGGTGAGACACACATAGACCAACAACAGTGAGGGGCTGTACGTCTGTGATGACTGTGGCAAGGGCTTCACCAAGAAGTCCAACCTCTCCCTGCACATGCACACCCACTCTGGCAAGACGCCCTTCACATGGAACACTTGCAGTAAGAGCTTTACCAACAACTGCACCTTGAGCCAGCACATGCAGACCCACACTGGGGAGAAGCCCTTTGCCTGTGACACCTGCAGCAAGAGCTTCAGCCACAGCTCCCACCACATCCAGCACATGCGCACCCTGCACCAGGGACCAGCCTGTGCTGGGGGGACACAAATACACCAACCTCCACGCTCTCGGGTGAACAGGACACCCCTGGGAACCTAACTGTAATGGAAATTGCCTCTTTTCCACCCAGATTCCACAGAGTCTGGGGACTCCAGCAGCAGCAAATGCCATCGTCATGCCACCTGCCCTAAGTGTCTATTGGTGATGATGAGAATTATGGTAATGAGTCGGCACAGCCAGTGCCACCACTGAAGCTTGGCAGAGGTTTGCCAGGATATAGCTAAGTTTTCCCCAAGACTTTAGATTTCCTCTGTGTAAAAATCTCCCATCTTTTCCCTAATTATAATGAGAAAATGACAAATTTAATAAAATATTGTCTTTGTATTTTTGTTTTAACATTTCTTCCCAAGATGGTCCAATATCTGGGGCATTTCTTCCCTGGGATCAGCTGCAGAGCCACATGCCCATTTCAAGAAGGGTCTTGGGGGGACTGTGTCTGGGGGGGCTGGTGGGGGGCCCTGGGATGTCTGGAAGGGTCTCTGGAGTGTCTTGACAGTCCTGGGGGGTACTCCTGGTCTCTTGGGGGTGTCTGAGGGTCTTGGAGGGGCTGCATGGGTAAGTGGAACTATGGACGGGTAACAGTTGGAGGACCTCACCTTGGACTGGATTTCAGCCCTACCCTGGGGATTTTGGTGCTCTTGGGGTATGTTCCAGGAAAGTGTCCCCAGACCCATGGAGATGAGGGTGTCTGCAAGTGGGGGGATGTCACAGGGGGTTGGTGCCCCTGGCACTGCTCCCGGTTTGGCCGCGTCTCTCCCAGTGGGTGGAGCTGGGTGCTTAGTTGCTGGCCATGATGAAACCACAACTGTGAGGAAGCTGAAGTTTGCTCTCAACAAGTCATGAATGTCTGAGGTCAAGGAGGAGGTTCCTGGAGGGGACAGGAACTGCACTGACATTCACTGGCCAGGCAAGACAAATAGGAGGCCAATGGTCTGGAGGATCCTGGGAGATCTTGTTCACAAAGCTGCCGGGACACACAACAAGGGTGATGCTCGACTGGGTGTGGCCAACAAGGAAGACCTGGTCAGGATGTGACCCCTGGTGCCAGCCTTGGCTGTCTGTAGGAGTCAGGAAGGCCCGCAGCGGTGCCCAGAGAGGTGGACTCCAGGGGAGAAGCCTTGGACAGCCTTGGGGGACTGCTCCAGGTGGTGCCATGGGCAGTAGCTGTGAAGTGGAAGGAGCTCAGGAAATCTGACAGGCCTCACAGCACAGCCCCCTCCAGGCACAAGAGGGGTCTCCCCAAATCCCCACAAGAAGAAGCCTTTCTCTCAGGAGGTTGCTGGTCTGACCTGAGCAAGCTCCAGGACAAAAAGGCAGCGGCAGCAGCAGCAGCCGGGAGGTGGAAGCAGGCGAAGCTGCAAAGGGGGACTGCAGAAACCTTGCCCCTTGACACAGGGCTGAGGCCAAAGCCAAAGCTCCCCTAGT